GATTTGTTTTCAATATACAGTGAATATATAATGAGAGCTTTAATTGGTATGCCAGGAATTGTGTTTGGTGGGCACAATATAAACAATTTATATTATGCTGATGACACAGTCTTGATAGCAACAAATCAGAAAGAACTACAGGAAATGATAGACATTGTGGTGTTAGAAAGTGGAAGAATGGGCCTCAGTTTGAATAATGGGAAGACAGAAGTAATGGTGGTATCAAAGAAACGAATTATTCCTAAGTGTGTAATAAAAGTTAATGGTGTTATTTTAGGACAAGTACAGAAATTTAAGTATCTGGGCACATGGATAACATCAGATGGAAGATGCATAACTGAGAAAAGAAATAGAATAGGACAGGCAAAAACTGCATCTTATAAAATGAAAAACATCTTGTGCAATATATCCTTGTCATTGAGAGTTAAAAAAAGAATTCTTGCTTGCTACGTACATCCAGTTTTAACATATGGCTGTGAATCCTGGACAATCGGTAGGCAGGCCAAACCATTTCTGGAGGCCTCGGAAATGTGGTTTTACAGAAGAATGCTTAGAATACATTGGACAGCCAAAAAGAGCAACCAAGAGGTTTTGAAAGAGACGGGAGCCAGAAGACAACTTATCACAGACATCAGAAGGAGACCGTCATCATTTTTCGGGCATGTTATAAGAAGAGGGAAAATAGAACATGTTGTGACCACTGGAAAGATATGTGGAAGGAGAGATAGAGGAAGACAACGAGAGAAGATGCTTGACAGTCTTGTTTCATGACATGGAGGTGTGTCGGCACACGAACTGATACATGCTGCAGGAGATCGCAGATTATGGAGAGGCATGATCGCCCACGCCAGTCGGCAAGGTACCTGATGATGATGATAATTTTCTGTCCTCGAGTAGTTTCTGAACAGTATGAATCACTTGGTATTAGTGGTGGGTTTAGGTTTTATATCCCGCATTTATTCTAGTAGGTTAACATAAATTATAGAGGGCCTTGGTTTATCGAAGTCACGATCAGTTTAGAAAGACAATAAATACAATAAGAAATGGCGCGAATCTCTGTTAGTCCGTACCGGGACATCACAACAAAGTCAAACTGAAGTAAAGATGTTAACTGTAGGTCTACAGTGCTTTTAGTAAATCTGCGTGTTTATAATAGAGGAACCATGAAGCAAATGTGAGCACATCTTGATAAGAAAAGCCAGGAAAAACTCAAATATGCCAAAATATGCCAGTTCATTATCTTATGCCAGTTCAATTTCTTCAAGTCTAACTGTTTGCTGATTAAAAGTTTCTTCAGTTCCTGGACTATACTTTCTGCTTCACACAAATTGAGCTAGTCTTGTATTTTCGCTTTAATTTCACATTTGCAGTACTTACAACGAGCCTTGGCAATATTCGCAGGAACTGCCATCACTCAGTCTTTAATTTTGTCATCATGCAACCACTCTTTCCGAAATTGTTGATCATACTTTACTTTTGGCATGTTGAAAGTTTTTTTGATAGTGAAAGCCACACATGAAGGTGACCAATTATATTTTTTTTTAAATCACATGAGAAAGATACACAAAGTCAGCACAGTGAGGATACGGTTGAGACAAAGTTAGTATGATTTACGCGCGCTTTTAGCCAGATATTTGAGCATTGACCCCAGTGAGAGTTCAAAGTTTCAGTAATTGCAATTGTCACAATGTACGTGCCCGATGAAAAACAAAAATACTGTAGTAATTATTTTACGCAGTAATTATTTAACTGACACTGAAAGAAAAAAATGTGTAAAATATTTAACTCTAAATGAAAAGAATCTAGAAAAACATCTACCATCTAAACGTCAAATACACCATCTAAATGCAAGGGAAAACATCTACATCTGGATGTAAAACATCCAAAGTTGTAACACTGGGGGGGGGGGGGCAGGGGTGTCCCCATGCATTAAGACGGCCCTGGACTGGAGGGGAGTATTCCTATGCATTAAAACGGTCCTGGGCTGGAGGGGGAATGTCCCAACGCGTAAAGTCCCAATACAACAAAGGGTCACTGACCTATTTAAATTGGATTTGTGTATCTATCACTTTTCTAAAGTTTACTTAGGACTCTTCCCTCTCCCTCCTTTTTTTTTTTACTTGTCGACTCTTCTGTCACAAGATATATCAGGACACCGGTTACCTAGAGCAGCTGTTCTTAAACTGGGTGCCGCGAGCGTATATCAGGGGTGCCGCGGCAATAATCAAGAATGTTTCACTGAGATAACCCAAAACAGCAGTTTAAAAAAGAAATACCGTGAAGAAAGCCAAAGAGTTCTGGATGCAGGTGTATTTAGAAAACAATGATATTGGCATGGCTGCAGTGGATTCTCAACGTACTATTACATAAAAAAAACGGATACAAGAGTAACTTTAAAGTGATCTGAGGAGGAATAAATAAAAAATGAAATCTTAACAGTTCATTTATCAGTGAGTCCTTTACAGAACGCCGCTCTCTTCACGGCACCCCCTGAAAGTATCCCTTTCTCTAGCCAGCTCTCCAGCCCCATGTGCTTTCAATGCCAATGCATCTGCAATATCTTGTATCATCTATTCTTCGCGGTGATCGACCCCTGCCTCGCCTTCCACAAACTGCATCTAAAGACCATCACCGTCTTTTCCAAGCCACCATGACGCTTGATGTGGCCAGAATATTTTAACTTTCGGGACAGGATGCTGTTTATGAGCCAGTTCTCCTTGATGTTCAACTCGTTCAGAATGTCAATGTTTTTCCTCTTCCTTATCCATGGTATTCTAAGATTGTTTCTACAAAATTTCAATTCTCCGGTGACGGAGTGATCGTCCAATAATCACATCCGTAAGTTGCCACATGAAAAATTGTCGCAAGAAAACTGAAAATTGAATTAGCATTAGCTTTCAGGGTGGATGTGTCCGAAAAATTGTCCAACAAGGGTGTCGCGTCTAAGAAATGTTGAGACACGCTGACCTGGATGACAAGCCATCGTGCAGTACCACACATCTTGCCTTGACTGAGGTTAGAGTAACCTAGGAGACCAGAACGATGCAATAACAAAAACTGTCAAAGTTAGACAAGACAAAAAAACAAATATTTGGTTATATTTCATAGCAGAGATCACTCGAGTGTTCTGGGTGGCCCTGAAAAGGGCCTATATTCAAGGGCCATGTGTCAAGGTTTACTTGGCGGCTGCTGCGACCTTCTTGGGAGTCTTCACCTTCTTGGCTGCAGGTTTCTTGGCCACTTTTGGCTTAGCGACCTTGGGCTTGGCTGCTGTTGCTTTCTTGGTTGGGGTTTTGGCTTTCTTGGGCTTGGCGGCGGCGACCTTCTTTGGGGATTTGGGCTTCTTGGCAGCTGCTGGTTTCTTTGGCTTGGCGGCGGCGACTTTCTTAGGGGACTTGGGTTTCTTGGCAGCTGCTGGCTTCTTGGGCTTGGCGGCCTTCTTAGGAGACTTAGGCTTGGTGGCTTTCTTGGCCTTGGGAGCTTTCTCAGCTTTGTCTCCAAGTCGGAATGAACCGGCAGCTCCAGTTCCCTTGGACTGTTTCAGACTTCCAGCGGTCACTCCGGCTTTCAGGGCAGCCTTGAGACGAGCGTTGATGGCGGTAGGGTTGTCTCCCACCTTGTAGTTGGCGATGATGTACTTCAAGATGGCCTGGCGAGAAGAACCACCACGTTCCTTCAACGCGGAGACGGCCTCGGTAATCATGACCTTGTACTGTGGGTGAGACGCTACAGTCTTGGGCTTGCTGGATACAACCTTCTTCTTGGCGGCTTTGGCTGGAGCAGCAGCGGCAGCTGGGGCAACGGTAGCGGCGTCAGACATGATGATGATGATGCGGGTAGGTAGCGACTGGTGACGGTACAAAGTGAGGCAGGCGGTGACTGGAGTCGAGCGAGCTGGAGAATGTCAAAATCGTTGAGCCGCTGGTCGCTTTCCCCACTTGCGCGGATGTCCGAGACAGCTGCGAGTCATGTACCGCTGAAAGCTCCGCCATCAACAACTCCAGACTGTAAACTGTGCGACATGCCGCACTTTAAATATTTATTTCTCTTTATTTACCTCACAGACAATGCTCGCTTGTTGATCCTCAAATACACGACATCGTAACCTGTCATTTCGTTATAACTTTGGCAAAACTTTCCTGAAAATAATCAATTATATTTCACATTTTGCACACAGCCTACCAGTTAGCAATGTGGTGACTGTATAATTATAAATAATTTTAAAATATATAATCTTTTTTTTATCCTAATATTTAAGATTTTAAAATATCTAAACTCTAAACTATTTAAACTCTTGGTGTTATTTTCTGTAAATCAATTTAGTTATATGCAAAAACCTATATTTTTCCAAAGCCACCTTTGCACATTTCTGATCACAGAAAGTTTCCGTTTTGGAATATTTATAGCCTTACACTTATTAAAATAATATTTTTTATAGTTCATTTGTACAAATAATGCTACAGAAACAATCATGTATGCGTTCCACTGCAAGTAACCTAGTATACTTTACATAAATGTCAAATATGTTGCATTTGTGTACCACAAGATTTTGCCTAAACCGCTATCGGACAACCTGACGTCATCCAGACGTTTACTGACTGCACTAAAATACTATTTCTTTACTGTCTGTGTAACGTTTACAAAAGCTTAAAAGTATTACTTAAATGTTTAGTGTCATGGTAATATGTATTTCTTGTTTGTTTACGACTGGAATATTAACTAAATTGCAACAATTTCCATCGTCCTTTGTACTCGGGTGTTCGGGGAGAGGACCGCCATCTTTCATTGCGACGGGACCGATCTGAAGGATATGACCAACAAATTTCATATCTTTTGGGTTCAATGTTGCAATTACAACAGATATAACTAGATGAGCATCAACAATTAGTGTCTTCGCAATGTTGTGGGAAACACTATTTATGGTAAATATTGATTTCAACAGTTCGGGTGGTAGGACCGATAACCCACTGACTGCATCTTTAGATAGATAACACATCACAGCGGCACTTCAGTCCAGCCATATTATACATTTGTTATGTCGTGACTGGTCCAGCTGTGACAGAAACTGTCTATAATAACGTCCTTTTATAATTTACAATATAATGTGTTTCAGATTTGTCTTCTTCCTAACGTCCACCGGTTGTCAACTCCGGCGGAAAGTTGTGGATGTTCATCCCTCCTGGACTTTGGTCTTCATCGAGAACTTGAGTTTTGTGTGCACATCAGATTTACAGATCTGGCTTACTTTCATGCAGACGGTTGGTTTCTTTCCTCTCACGCAAATGCACTCTGACGTCAAATGAAACACTATTATTTAATCGCCCCTACGACATACTTGTCAGAGGGGCAGTGGATCTATGTTTTCATAGATGGAGTCCTGGAAGCCACCCTGGCAATTTGTTATTCAAATCGCAAGCTGCAGTCAAAATTCCACAGCAATAACAACACATGTTGAATTCTTTCGTAGGGCTGTCAGTAATTGAAAGCCTCATTTAAAAATCGTAATTGTATAATAAAAACAACAAAAACAATGTGATTCTTATCTTCTGGGCTAATAATAATAGTAAACGATTTTTCCACCAGAGGGTTAACGACCGTAGCGTTTACTGAATACAACAACAACAGTAATGTCTGTCAACAACCTTCTTTCTGCCGTAAGGCATAAGGCGTGAGTTACAGGCCAGTGACAGGTGAATCTACCCTAAACACACTGAACACGATCACTTCTAGAGCACACACAACAATCTTTAATGTGCAGAGTTCGCCCCAAGAAAGTGTGGCACCCCTATCTGAAGCGCAGGCCGTGATGGCTTTACAAATCACCGTTCACGCCTTCCCGTCCCCGTGGATTACCGGGCACAAACCCAGACTTCTTTCAATAGTCTCTTTCCATGTCGCTGGCCCTGACATTGGGATCGTGAGGCACGTACAGAGTGAGTGGCCGAATGTGCGAGGGCAGAAAATATCCCACAACCAAAACCCAACAGCCTTAGATAGCTTCTTCTTCTTCTTCTTTCGTTCGCCTGAAATAAGTTGTCTATAACAGCAGTTTTGTCTCTTGTATAAATGTCACTGTCGTTGTTAGTTCATTCAGTGGTCCATAGAGGTTGCGTTCCACTGTTGTTCTTTCTGGCCAAAAGGTTTGCCTTAATGTGTCAAATTCGGTGCAGTCCTGGAGTACATGCTCTGTTGTCTGGGGCACATTTCCACAGGTGCACATGGCTGATTCGCCTATCTTGAATTTTGTGTACATGTGGTTACGTAATCGGTTGTGCCCTGTTCTGAGGAGGAGGATAATGACTTGTTCTTGTCTGTACATAATAAAATAGTCGTCTTGTGCTAGGGCTGGTGGTTTCCTGATCGATTTAATGATTCTTTTCTTTTGGTGGTATGTGACTAGTACATCCGGCTGCTCTTTTGTCGACGGTATCCACTGCATTACGACTCTTCTCTGAAGGCTGAGTTGTCTCAGCAGTGTTTGCAATTCTGGTAGTTTCCTAGACTGGAGTGCTTCAAGTACTGATTTAGCATCTGTCAGCATTACCACATACTGTGAGCCAAGATTGGTATTTAGCAGTTTCTCAGTTGCTATCTTGATAGCTTCAGTTTCTGCTTCATAGTTATGGCAGTACTTTCCGGTTGGTACGCTGGACTTATCCCTAGTACCATCTGGGAATTTGATGTACACTCCAGCACCACCATTTCCAACTGCACTTTCTGCGGACCCATCTGTATAGACTCTGACCCATTGTTCTTGTGCCTTAGATAGCTAATCTAACGTTATCTTATTCAACAAATCTAACCACGTAACAATGCTACAAGATCTTAACTTCGCAAAACATCGTACAACACAATTACACACGCATTCTAACCAAACCACATCTCTTTCAGTCGATAACACGCTACACTCTAACTGTCCAGTACTAGATGTCGCAGTCTCAATGTCCTACAATCTCCTCTGTCCAAGCGTTTTTATTCTACCTTCACCGCTCACCTCCCGACTTCGGGTTATCCGAGAATTCTCCCAAGTGTACAGCTCAGCCGATCACGACTCACACGGTCGTCTGTCCGTCTGGCCTGACCAACAGTTCATGTACAGCTCAGCCGATCACGACTCACACGGTCGTCTGTCCGTATGGCCTGACCAACAGTTCATGTACAGTTCAGCCGATCACGACTCACACGGTCGTTTGTCCGTCTGGCCTGACCAACAGTTCATGTACAGTTCAGCCGATCACGACTCACACTGTCGTCTGTCCTTCTGGCCTGACCAACAGTTCATGTACAGGTCATTTAGTACAGACACGAAGAATTATCACTGTCATACTCCTTATCCCATACATGCACTGACCTATGATAGTGCCTTTTCAGTACATCAATATACCAACAACAACAATAGTATTTATTAAGTACACCAATGTAGAAACAACAACAATGTTATCTATTGAGTACACTGGTGGCATACGAGAGTTATATGATGGAAGGTGAGCAGATTTGCAAGAAGAAAGACATTTAGAAGGTCCATCTATATTAAAGGAAGAAGTTGGCGATGCTATTAAACAAATAAAGAAAGGAAAGTCAACTGGGCCAGATGAAACTTCGATAGAAGAATTAGAAGTACTGGGGAAATTTGGGGAAGAAATATTAACTAAACTGATGAATGACATTTATAACACTGGATACATACCAAGTGATCTGATGAAATCTGTATTTATTGAGTTACCTAAATTTTGTACAATCAACATAATTAACCGTCATTAAACTTAGAATTATAATGAGAAGAACAAGAAAAAAACTTTATGGAAATGAGTGAAGAGCAGTATGAATTTATGGAAGGTAAAGGGACAGGTAATGCAATATACATATTACGAACACTGATAGAAAGATCAATGAACATAAAAAGGACTTATAGTTGTGCTTTATAGATTATACCAAAGCATTTGACAAAGTTAAACACGAGGAGATGATAAAAATGTTGGAAGACATCAATGTAGACGGGAAAGCTCTCAGAATAATTAAAAACATAAACTAGAACCAAGTTGCAGCAATTAAAGCCGGAAACAGATTGGGTACTTTTGAACAGATAAATAAAGCAATGAGTAAGACATGGATGTGTCTTATCCTCAGACCTTTTCTCTCTATATAGTGAAGTAATTTTGAGGGAAATTAAAGATAAAACAGAAATAAGGGTTGGACAGTACATTATAAACAATTTGCGTTATGCAGACAATAAAGTTTTGAAAGCTGAAAATGCAACTGATTAACAACAATTGCTGGATATTGTGAGGATGGAGAATGCTAAGAAAGGACTTTCGTTGAATATTAAGATAACGGAAGCAATGGTTATATCAAAGAAGAAGATAACTCCAAACTATGATATCTCAACTGAAGGCAAAAGACTTAACCAAGTCAATAAATTAAAATATAGGGGAACAATCATACTGAGAAGGTTAGCAGCAATGGTATTTATATGATACACTAGTGGGGGGGGGGGGGGGGAGTATTGTTGTATGCTGAACTCACTTTGCTGTTCAGTAGTACCAGAGGTCAGAGACGAGATCACCTATGCCAGTTGTAAAGGCGCAAGGTGGTGATGGCGAGGATGATGACAGAGATGAGTGCAAAATGTCCACACTACCTAACCTTGGTAATCTTAGTTTCAGCTTCATAGCAAAAGAGTCACCCCAAAGTTGCTCTGCTCCTGTGCCAACGAAAAACACACATAAAGTTCGTCGTAGTCCCTTGTGGAAAGATTGACAGACTGTTGTCTCAGCATATGCACTAGCATACACACGCATTAAAAGCACTAACACAGTTTAACATTAAAAATGCAGTTCATCATCGACGGTAGCAGAAGTTGCCAACAAATTAGCAGTTGCACATGCGATCAATATTAATCACATAAGGGCACCACCAATATTACGGCGACGGGCCATTTTATGAATCTACAGTTCACAACACCACGTTGGATCAAAAATGCAACGGCCACCGTCTGGCAGAAGCAAAAAAAATTTTCTAAACAGTCTACTGAAAGAATCAGAAATATGGTAATCTTGTTCGATGTTACCTCACTGTACAATCCAACCCTCACAGTGATGCCCTGTCGGCGCTTCGTTTCTTTTTGCTGGACAAAGTCTAACGCAGTACTTTGCCAGTCCTATGGGCACTAAAATGGGCCCAGTTATGCCTGCCTCTTCATGGGTTTTCTGGAATACCAGGTGTTCAAGAACATCCTATTCCGTCATATGTCTATCCTCCGAGCGGACCCAGTAACTAACGCTGCAGAGACACCTCTACTGGCATATTTTTTTTAACGTATCCAGAAACCATGAGTTGTAAACCCTTTGGCTCGGTACTATGGATATCGCAACCCTTCGGCATTGATTCCATTATAGGTACCGTTAATCTGGGAGAAATGTGGCTTTTCTGCCTACCCCCGAGAGTGAACCCGGACCACAAGGAGTTCGTCACCCGGCCGCCGCGAAAGTCAGGTTTACCGCACCCTCAGATATTTACTGGTACACTGCAGAGCACGAGGACCCGTCCCAACTCATCCGGGCACTAACACTTGCCTCAGTGCAACAACGCCCCTCTGTACTGAATATTTGAGATGTGACTTTTCCTAAGGGCACCTTTAGCATCAAAGGAATTCTCCGGCACCAACAGGAACGTCATCTATGATATCTGCAAACGGTGCAACATCTAGTACATTTGAGAAACCGGTTTCCGTTTAGCCGACAGGTTTCGCCACCTTCATGACGTGTTGTCATGAGACCCTTTTTACCCGATTTCATATATTAGCACACAAAGACCGATCTATCCATCCACCAGTATAGCCATTTATCTATTTGTCTACACCCATCTACCCACACGATCTATATTCAGACCTGACGGTATCTGAACGCTAGCACAAGCACCACTTTTTTTAAGAAGATTCCAGTTGCCTTGGTCAACATTCAGACAGTGCCGTCAAGTCATGTGGCAACGCTTTAGTGTTCTTGACCGACCAACTGACGTCTTATCCCGCGTCAATGATCCCATGTCACGACCTGTTAGTGTACCTGATTCACAAACTAATTTGTCTTCTTTCCAGCGACCACTGCTCCATTATTACACAGCAAAACTTTTCACTGTATTCATTCATTTGAGTTACATGAGATTTATATACTTTTTCACAGTAAGGATATAAACATGCAGGGCTGGTTTATGAAGACTCAATGTCAAAATTTTGTACGTGGGATGAACAGCCAGAACTTTCTGCTCAGTCAGTTTACAGCGAATGTGAGAAGAAAATTGTGATGTAATCTACAACAGGGTCAAACTGGCAGCTATGGTAATATTTGAAAATGGGTCCAAGATACGCTCCCAATCCGAACTAGGTCACGTTCTATTCATACGTTTTAAGACGGCTGTCTGTGGGGTGGTTACTTCGATGTTTTTTCTGGTTTGTTTTACATTTACATCCTCCCGAGAAAGAATGCATGTGGCATAGGTTGCAGCACTCTAGGGAAGTTGTGGCAAAGACCGCTTCTAAATGTTTCTGTACAAAGAGCTGGCGCGCTAAAAAATACAACAGCATGAATACCCCTGGTTATGCGAAGGTTGAGTGACGAAGTGAGCTAGTGTGTAACGTGGAACTTTGAAAAAGACTGCAGGATATTCATTCATCTGAGTACTGAATACCACCGACCTTTGACCTGACATAAAATACGCAGTCAGCTCTCAGTGCCAGGGTTTAGGTGTTGCAAACCCGCTTTATGATGTTAGATCTCAACTGATGGTACCTTGGAGCAGCAGACTGGTAGAGTAGTGGGGGTAGTAGTGTCACCTCTACCTTGGGGTGTAGAGGTTTGCCAGAGAGATTTCCAGACGTCTCTATCAGCAGTTTTATTTCTGGCTTTGTTTCATTCCAGTCCTGTGACTGACAGGTGTTTTCCCAGCGCATTTGGAGGTCTGGTTCCCTGGTTCTTAGCCTCCCATGGTTGCCGATTTTCTCCCATCGTAGTGGCAAACTACTGAACTTAAATTTGTTAAAATCCACAACAGCCAAATATGCTTAGGTTTATATGGTCACATCCTATAAAGAACTTTATGCTCGCTCACTGATCCTTCAGATACAAACACACGTGTCCAGACAACAACGCACAAAACAAGCAAATATAACCAAGCAAACTCGTCAGTAAAGTTTTATGTTTAATAGTCAGGTCAGTGGAACAGCAACCGGCAGACATCTCCCAGACAGGGACACTCATGCAGCCTCTGTCTCCAGGGTTTTGAGGTATGCAGCCTTTCTCTGTGCAATACGGGCCTTGCGTTGGGCATTGGACAGTTTTACCCGATTCCATCTGCAATTGAAAAAACGTTATGTTAACAGTGAAAATGCTTTGCTCCAGTATCAAACAATACTGGTTGTTACCCCATTGTTGGGAGAACAGACCCACCACTTTCCCCAATAAGCGTCAGAAGGAAAAAAGCCAGCAATATGTACATGCAAATCCCAGGCCTGGCATAAAGCCAAAGTACAAATCGATGAACCACCAGGACTTTCCACTGCAGACAGTGAACAAAGAAACAGCAAGAAATGGTCTGAACAAGATAGAAACATTAAACAGCACTTATGAAACGAAGCAAAATGTGGCTATTAGAAATTGTTAATACTGCTGAAAAAAAAAAAGCTGTTAAGAAACGATACTGCTTAGAAAAAGTTCTTTTCTCATTCACCCAATGTAAACAGATCTGACTAATCTGTATGCAGACTGTTGGTCCCTTGACCTTCAGGCAGATGCTCTTATGACATGCTTTGAGGTTGGCAGTGCGTCTGGTTTTCCCTTAAGGCCTTGGAACCCACACACGAATCTGAGTAACTGATAGCAAAAGAAAAAATACTAAGAGACAGGCGAGTCTGAAAAAAAAGAACTACATCAGGGACCAGAACAACAATCTAACATTCCAACCATCAGCAAGCGCAGTTCCTATGATGGCAGATATCTGTACGTCCTGTGTCACCCAGACAATATCAACGGCGTTGCTGAACACCCCTGTAGTATTGTGCCAATGTTGGATGACAACGTGAGCTACAACAGCCACACCAAAAATATATGGGTGGTTTAGCAACATACTGTAAAGAATATGCAACTAACTTTTTATGCCCTAGAGAAAATGTACAAAGGCGCTAGCCTACACCTGAAGAAAAAAACAGCAGGTTCTCAGGCAATAAGTAATCTGTAGTGACCACCTTCATCTCTTTTCTTACTAGATGGTATATATGCCAGGCTTTGTTACACTTGACAATATCAGCATGATAGTGATTATTAACAACAATTACCTCTTCTTCTCCACCTCCTTCTTGGCTGCAACCTTGGCTTCTGGGTCAGCTCTGATGGCAGCATGGGCTTTCTTGTAGAGCTCCTCAACCTGCAGGCAGTCATCCAACAAATGATTCATCAATACAACAACAATTATGTGCCACATTTCAATCATGCTTGGTTACCACCTCGCAAACATGACCATCATCTGGAGTTCGGGCTCATTCTGGTTTCCACTGCTGCTTAAATAGTGTAAATTTCACAATTTTTTGATGACTGTTCAAAGGTTTCAAAATTAGTTTTAGATTTTCTTTTTTAATATGTTAAACAGTTTAACCCTACCAGACGACTTAAAAAAATATGCAACACAGACTAACAATAACCAGCCAATCACCATTACAAATGACTTCCCACAGATTTCTTTGTGTGGTTCGATGTGAAAAAATTCGGAAAATTCTTGATGAAGCAAGCGGCAAAGTGACGCAGGTCTAGGTTTTTCAGTCCCAACAAGTGATCGATACTTTGGTTAGTTCAGACTGAATACGTTCATGAAGAATACATTCCCAGTTAAAGTGACAATGAGCTAGAGGAAGAGAATTATGAAACAAGATCGACAGTAAGAAAAGGGGGCGTGCCCCTCAAACAGCAACATCTGGTGCTTACTTTGTAAAACAAGACTGATCCTACTAGGTGGAAGATTGGCGCTAGATGAAAGGTAAACCTATTTTCTACAGTGTCTCCACGTTTTATCTTATTCAGGGCCTCAGGTCTAGTAGGGTACAAGCCAGCTGGTATAATTTATAATATCTAAGCACATATACATGATCAAGAAATGCAAGATACAGAGCCCACTAGAAAGTTAATGACTGATAGACTAGCTATGTATACAAGGAATCAAGTTATATGCAGTAGTCTGTAAAAATATTACTATCTTTAAAATAGCAAGTCCGTCTCTAGCGTAGTTGGCTAAACCGGATAGCGCGGAGACCGGGTGACGAACTAGGTGCCCGGGTTCACTCCCAGGGGTAGGCAGAAAAGCCACATTTCTCCCAGATTTACGGTATTTAAAATGGAATCAACGTCGAAAGGTTGCGATATCCATAATACCGAGCCTTAAGGGTTAACTCATGGCTTATAGATACTAAAACAAACAAAACAAACATAAAATAGCAAATATATTGTAAAGATATACAGAGCATATGCTGTCTCAGACAAATACCTCGATTGTCATCACTAGTCCAGAACAGAACACCCAGCCTGGACAAATACTGTCCAAGACGAGATGACTGCTGGAGACAGATTCGTCATCTGTGTCATCACTGACAGTCTTCATGAAAGGTAAATTACAAATGGCAACACTGAAGAGAACAGTGAGATAATGAGACAAGGAGGGCTAGAAATATTTGTGAGCATAATGTAAACAATCTCAGCTATGTGATGATTGTTTTGTTTGCTGCAAATAAAATACAAACTGTCAGAAAAATAGACAAACAAGTAGTAGTAATTACATAGGCAAGGCAGTGGCGGATGTAGCACAGAACATTCTTGATAATGTAGAGGTTGCTAAAGTCGTTGAAAAAAAATGCTGAGAAAATTCAGAGAGGATATGCTGTCTCAGACAAATGCCTCGATTGTCATCACTAATCCAGAACAGAACACCCAGCCTGGCCAAATACTGGCCAAGACATGATGACTGCTGGAGACAGATTCGTCATCTGTGTCATCATAGATAGCAAATTGAGGTTGAGAGAACCATACAGATGAGATATAAACCGTGTGCAGTGAGGTGTTTGCTTGTGATCAAGATGTTTACCCGAGGGTTTGTTATAAGAGCAAGGCTCTGCAATGGACATGCTACTGACTGAATACTCTAGCACACACAGAATTCTTCCCGTTTCTTTAATCATGTTGTAACCAGCAAAAACGTATGTCAAGAAAGAAGTGAGTTTGGCATTGTGACAAATGGGATAATATAGACCTGGCTTTCATAAGACATTGACTAAATAAAAGGGAAACTAATCTACACTGTGAAAGGACTACTTATCTCAGACAAATGCCTCGAATGTCATCACAAAACCAAAGCAGAACATCCAGCCTGGTCAAATACTGACCAGGAGCAAGATATTTGTTGGAGACAGACTCGTCATCGATGTCATCACGGAAAGCAATCGTGCAGTGTAAAACATAAGGTATATTTTCAGGTTTTACAGAACCACACACACAAAAACGCTTTAGGTGTTGTCACAAATAAAGATGAAACAGATGACCCATGTAGGAGACAAGACTGTGTCACAGATGGAAATTATTCAGTGAGTAATAAGTCATAAATCAATGAGATAACTGCTACCAGACATGTGAGGCAGCATGTTTTCTTGTCTGTAAAGGGCAAGTCTCACCAAAACAAGATGCAGGTGAGACCAGTGTTCTAATTACATAACAAGGGGTTTCTATGAGATACCTTGCTGGTCTGCCCTACAAACGGATTTTTAAGGTGAAAACCATTGGGTAGCAGTCCAGAGAGGACAAAATGATCTCAGACAAATGCCTCGAATGTCATCACAAATCCAAAACAGAACATCCAGCCTGGTCAAATACTGTCCAAGACCAGACATCTGTTGGAGACAGACTCGTCATCGATGTCATCACTGATGACAAACATGACGGATGATCCAGCCTGGTAACAAACATTAAGAATACGACAGAAATGGACCAACCTGTGTGGGATGTCAATGCCACCGTCAGCAGCTCCCTTCAGTGCTCCGAAGACACGAGCACCAGTTGTGGTACGAGCCAAACCGACATCCAGGTAAGCTCGGAAGGCACCAGGAGCACCATCCACATCCTCCACTGTAAACTGCTCACCACTGACCTCAACCTGTCCTTCGTAAGTCTGGTCAAGCTTCAGCTTCTTTAACAGCTGTAGAAAGCAACAACTGATTGTACTCACTGAACCACACACACATCGTATATTGGACAAATCATACGGTAAGGAGTGTAATGACAGAACACCTATTGATGACAGGTTCCTAGATCTGCAAGCAGCATAAGTTTTCTCAGACAAATGCCTCGAGGATCATCACAACTCCAGCAAAAGCCATCAAGCCTGGTCAAATACTGACCACACACAATGTCTGCTGGAGGCAGACTCGTCATCTGGTGTCATCATAGAGAACTTATTACCATGGTTTGTACAACAATCAGCTAACTGCAACATGTTTGAACTACATTATAAAAAAATACACATCCTGTCTCATGGGAAAGACTTCCTCTACATTCTTTTATGTAAGATGATCAAGAATTTACTATTGGATTTTTAGTCAAGGTTATGTAGACATCTCTCCGGTGTCTTCCTTATAGCTGCATACTTTATAAACTCATTTTGGAGGTACCTGACTAAACATCTGTTCGCACATTTCACCACTCATTCCAGAATGTTAGCTAATGCCACTGTCCTAAAAAGGTGAAATTTTTAAATATTTTTAAACATTTCCTTTTTTTAAAGTAACGTATTTATTTTACGTATTAGTTGGCTTTAAAATGCTCATATATCTGTAAAGCAGCATTGAATTTGTAGAGATCAAGCATACTAAACAGAATTCTATACAAAAGAATTACTTACTCGTCTTGCTAACAGAAGTCCAGTGCAGTAGGCAGCTGCGTAATTGGTTAGCCCGACCTTCACGCCGTAACGAGGCAGCTCATGAGAATATGCAGCACACATAATCACGTCACCTTCAATACGAGCGTAGGCTATCTGTTGACAACAGAATGCGTTTATTACAGCACACACACAAAAAAAGGAATTATCTTCCATGCTTTATCCATGTCAAATTATTCTTTCCTTTTCCTTCATGCAACCAAGCATGGCTCTTTAATCATTACACAGAAAAAGTGGCCGATCGTGTGCCAACCCTTCGTAAACAGGCTTAGCAGATTTTGGTGTAAATACTGCTCACATACATTTTGATAAAACTGATCCTACTAAACAATTCTGAGTGCTGTTACAGCAAAATTCCCATCAGAATTTATTTGCCGCAAAGGATATTTTCATGTGGAATTCAAATGGTAATTCCAGTTATCATCATTGGGAATTCAACCAGTGATAAAAAGGCTCACATGCAAGTTACAAAAAAAAAAAAACCTACAACACAAAGATTAAAACAAGTCTACCTAATAAGCAGGGCTCAAGCTAGAACCTGCTTCAACAGCTGTTTGCCCGATCAATACAGTAAAGCATCACAAACTGTCAGGGAGCTAATGGACAAAACCCAACACCCCCCCCCCCCCCCCACACACAAAAACCTTCCAGCTTATCCCTGACATTCACAATTAAACACTAGGCTATAATATAAGCAAGTTGTTCAAAAATGTCGATAAAAAGGGGGCGAACAAAATTATATGAAATAACCTACCTGACATATGATGTCCTTGTTGGTGAAACGGACGACCATACGATACTTGGGGGTGTTGTACTTGTTCTTGTCCTGGAAGATCAGTCTCCTCCTGGCGTAGTAGTCAGTGACTCCATCTATTGGGAGGATACGAGACAGATGTTTAAACTAATTTTTTTAATGTGATGAAATGGCAAAGGTTCATCTTTCACTAGGGAAGATAGCTAATATACAGACTTGCTTACATTATTAGACTGACAATAAAACTATCAACAGTACTAAGCTAAAGTGTTATCTCAGCACCACTATTGACCGCGGGAGATTGCTGCATTGAGACACAATCATAGTTTTGACATATGTTAATGACGTACCTCTCCTCCTCTTGAACTTGACCTGGAATCTCTTAAAGTACGCCTTGTTCTTGATGACTTTCACAAACCCCTGTGAATTTAACAATGCAACTCAATCAGTACAAGTCACTATGTTGAGCAGTATACAATCAACAACTATGCTGCTCTCAGCAGTTTTATTTCTGTGCTTTCACAAATGTATATGCCCAGTCAAGCTTTCATTTTAAAAATGATATCCCATCAGAATGTGTTTGCCGCAAAGGTTATTTTCATGTGGAATTCAAATGGTAATTCCAGTTATCATCATTGGGACTTGACGGTCATTCACAAAAGGGCACATGTCACTTATCTATGGTAATTAGCAAAACATTAAAAAAATTAGTACCTGAAATGATGGTCATGTCAATTTTGTACTGTAATGTAAAATTTCATGGTCCACCACTTACAACAGAAATATAATGTTCCCGCATCCTTTTAGTCAAAGATGCAGTATCACTTTTATGTTCTGAATATTTCAAGATTAAATCCCATCAGAATGTAATTGCCGCAAAGGTTATTTTCATGTGGAATTCAAATGGTAATTCCAGTTATCATCATTGGGAATACATTTACTTGTCATTCAGATATCACAGAAGCCTCCTGTTACATGTCCACAGTTGCACAAAAACAATGACGAGGCCCTGACTGAGCCATGTGGCAAAATCAACATAATAAAACAGTTTGAAAGAAGAAATTCTTTAAAACATTTTCCTGTGGTCTAATCATAAGCTTCTATGTGTCACGCATGTAACAAATCCCTTGGCAGTTGGAAATTGAAAAGAGTAGCCTAACTGCTGCTCTGGCAAAATTTTCAAGTTGAAATTCTACCCGAGTTTTTCAGGATCCTTGCTGGTGCTACAGAGTTCATGCACTGCACTGAGATTCTTGGGTCTTTTAGGCTTGAGTTAGTACAGCACTTCTAGGCTACCATCATTATGCCATGATAATCCGTTGTTAACCTAAACCTATCTTAAGGAACTCCCATCAGAATGTATTTGCCGCAGGAATTATTTTCATACGAAATTCAAATGGTAATTCCAGTTATCATTGAGAATTAAAACAAACCAGCTAATGTAGAATTAAAGCAAAGCTGAATGTTGAAATATTTAGATGATGAGTACTGAGAGGTGATAAATGAACATGTGACAGGATACCACCAGGTTACCAGGTTCAGAAGCACAAGAATTATTTACTTTATGGATATAATTTTATCTTTATGAAATTCATATAAATTGAATTTACAAAACAGTCATATAGTTAATAAAACAGCATTTATGTTCTAGTGTTATTTCTAATAACTCCCATCAGAATTATTTGCCGCAAAGGTTTTTTTTCATGTGAAAATCAAATGGTAATTCCAGTTATCATCATTGGGAATTAAGGTAAAAATGTCCTCTGTTGATTCTGGGGAATAACAGAAATTCTACAAAACTGGGACTCCGAAACAGCAAACATTACACAAATGCACATAAAAAAAAAAACCATGGCATTAAGTCAGTCGGAAAAACCAGAACATTTCCATAGCCGGAGAACAAATACAGAAGTTACATATTTAGTGTGATATTGAGGATGGAGAAAATAACAATTCACTGCCCTATTTTATGATTAATTTCCGTCAGAATATTTACCGCAAAGGTTAATAAACAAAATTTTATTACATAGATTTAAGAAACAACTATGTGGGGGGGTGGGGGGGATTCCTGTACTGATTGTATCTGAAAATTCCCATCAGAATATTTTTGCCGCAACGGTTATTTTCATGTGGAAATCAAATGGTAATTCCAGTTATCATCATTGGGAATTGTAACAAAACAATTACAGTATATTACATATAGATGGTAGGGAAAATCGGGGGGGGGGGGGGGGGGGGGGGGAACCAGATTTTGCTGTACTTATTGTATCTGAAAATTCCCGTCAGAATTTATTTGCCGCAAAGGTTATTTTCATGAGGAATTCAAATGGTAATTCCAGTTATCATCATTGGGAATTGTAACAAAACAATTACAGTATTACATATAGATGGTAGGGAAAATCGTGGGGGGGGGGGGGGGGAATGAGACCAGATTTCGCTGTACTTGTTGTATCTGAAAATTCCCATCAGAATGTATTTGCCGCAAAGGTTTTTTCATGTGGAATTCAAATGGTAATTCCAGTTATCATCATTGGGAACTAAAGATGTCCTGTGTTAATTCTGGGGAATATTAACAAAAACTCAGAAACAGCAAACATTACACAGTATAACAAATGCACATACAAAAAAAAAAACCATGGCATTAAGTCAAAGTTGGAAAAACCAGAACATTTCCATAGCCGGAGAACAAATACAGAAGTAACATATTTGGTGTGATATTGGGGATGGAGAAAATAACAGAATTTACTGCCCTAATTTATGATTAATTTCCATCAGAATATTTGCCGCAAAGGTTATTTAACAAAATTTGTATTACATAGATTTAAGAAACAATTGTAGGTGTGGGGGAGGGAATTTGCTGTACTGGTTGTATCTGAAAATTTCCATCAGAATATTTTTGCCGCAACGGTTATTTTCATGTGGAAATCAAATGGTAATTCCAGTTATCATCATTGGGAATTGTAACAAAACAATTACAGTATTACATATAGATGGTAGGGAAAATCGGGGGGTGGGGGTGGGACAGAAACTAGATTTCGCTGTACTTTTTGTATCTGAAAATTCCCATCAGAATGTATTTGCCGCAAAGGTTATTTTCATGTGGAATTCAAATGGTAATTCCAGTTATCATCATTGGGAATTGTAACAAAACATGTTAAGTATAGTATTACTTAACGATGTTAGGAGCAATTGAAGAAAACCGGAACTGGCTGTTGTCCTAACAAAAAACTCCCATCAGAATGTAATTGCCGCAAAGGTTATTTTCATGTGGAATTCAAATGGTAATTCCAGTTATCGTCATTGGGAATTGTAACAAAACATCTTAATTATAGTATTACCTGCGGAAAAAAATAGAATTTGCTGTACTGATAGTTTCTAAAAAAAATCCCATCAGAATTTGTTTGCCGCAAAGGTTATTTTCATGTGGAATTCAAATGGTAATTCCAGTTATCATCATTGGGAATTCGAAGTTTAAAAAACCTGTTATTATAGGAACAAAGGTGAAATGGGCCAGGAGAAAAGAACACCAGATGGGGTATGTGTCAAGTAAAACTGATTAAACACTTGGTAGGAAAATGTTTTAGTGTACAATATGACCTTTTAAGAAACTGACAAGGCCATACTTCAGAAGTTTTCAATTACGGGTTCTTTAACTACCCCTATTTAATAGTAATATTTTTCTTCTTTGCGTTTACCAGCTGTACACTTTCGGAAAGTTCTGGTTGCTAGGGACTACAGTTTCGGAAATTTGCGATCTTTTTGAGAATTTCCGTTACCATGAAAACCGTTTGAAACTTGTTTCGGAAATGTCGGCTGGGGTTTCAGGATGGGTCCTAATCTCTCATAAAATTTTGGGATTGGTGTGGATTTTCACCCACTCTAAATGGCTGAAAACAGCGGGAATGAATCCGATTAACGGCGCATGTCTACGACGGCCGGACGTCCCGTTTTTCTCATCAGTTTGATTAGGTTGGCTTTAGGCATTAACTGTTACTCGTCCTGGTAATGCTAGTTATAATTGAATTCTCCGTCCAATTTTACATTTGTGTACAAAATTTCTTACTGAACGGTGGCTTGATAGATGTACAGTGACATTTTTCAGGCAATCGCTGGCTCAGCCAGTGGCTGTGTCTCATTGTCTGCCATCTTGTCCAGTTAGTTAGTTAGTTGGGTTATCCTCATTGCACTCCGGACATGTCCATAGGTGCTCAGATCCTCCCCTCAGTATGAACCCCAACGTCCGATGGCTAATAGTACCAGTTCTATGTTGATTAACAAGTCTTCTGGCGTAGCTGGTGTGCGTCTCGTTTTTTGCTGTGCCGATCTTAATTCCCAAGTCTGCCATTCTGGCGAGTGATGTGGATTCACTGCCACCAAAGTCCTCTATTCTTCCCATTTCTCTGAGGGCATTGATAATATAAGCATGATCCATAGGCTGACCGTCGGTAGTGATAGCGGAACCAGCCAACCTGTCAGCTCTTTCATTTCTATTGACGCCTGCGTGTCCCGGAACAAAAATAAAGGTGACTTCACGAACAGTGGACTTCTGTAATGATTCAAGCCATTGTCTTCGCACTGAACCTGCCTGAACCCTCCGGATCATACTCATTGAATCACTGAGTATACACACGCGGGTGTATTTTTGCATCTTGTCCAATGACAGTGCAATGTAAACGAAGCCGATACAGAACTGCGCAATAGGTTGCGCAGTAAAAAACCTTGTTTCTGGGTCACAAGTTTTAGCGGCTGTATCTCCACAAAAACCTACATATCTCAGCTCAGAAATGACATACAAGCCTAAATGAGGTACCATTGGAAAGAGATTGTTTACAGCTATCTAACTGTGCTGGTTTTATTGGTGTAGAGGGCATTTTACAAATTTGACTGAAGTGGCTATGGTTGCTTGTCCACTACAGAACTGCAGTCCTGCTCCAGAACCTGAGTGTTGCGTGTGCATCAGTTTTACAGATCTCATTCTCCTGAATACAGACTGTTGGTTCCTTGCCTCTCCGGCAGATGCACTCCGACTTCAAAGGAAGCTCCCCAATCAGACGACTCTTACAGCATGCTTTTGTGGAGGCAGGTCTTTTCTTGTTTTCCCCACAATGGGGCCCCGTAACCCACACAGGGGAATAGTAATATTATGCCTAATCAGAATTTGTTTTCAATTACGGGTTCTTTAACTACCCCTATCTAATAGTAATATTATTCCTAGTCAGGCCTATATGACTACTTAGTTTAGCAGACAGCGTGTTTGTTGGCTGCTCATTCAATAATTCTCAAAGCAGCATGTTTCTGATTACGTAAAATACCTTGCAGCCATAGAATTAGCTGTATTTAGGCAAAGCATAATGTTGACTATGCAAATATATCTAAAATATCGTTTAACAAACTAAACAAGTCATGGCTTCAATAATCTGATAAGACTGACTTCCATTTTGACGATCTCTTCAGCATGTCCAGTCACATTTCACAACAAATCGTCATGCATCGACTTCAGTATACACCATATACTGGTCTTAATTTAATACATATATACAGCTACATAGAGCTGATTTAAACAAAGTGAAAATCTAGTAAAATACATACCATGTTTTGACAGAATCGAAGTTTTGGTCACTCCAATTTAGTACGATAGCTTCGGTCTCAGGGTACCATAATAGGAAAAGGAAGTGAGGAGGCGGAAATGAAGCTTTATAGGCTCCTACAAAACATGGCCGGTAGAACCTTACGAAACAAAACAACAAAAACTGCAGAGAATAGCCGGAAAGAAACGAATAAAAACATGAAATGCTTGAGTGGGGAGAAAAAAAAGGTGGGGGGGGGGGTGTGGGGGTGATCCCCATACTGTATTACATTACTATTTAAGGGAAACTACATTTCTAAAAGTTATTTTTCCATATTACTTAATTATCATCGTATAGAAAATATAAGTTAAGTCTCTGGAGATGTGGACATACGGAAGGGAAACGGTTTTTGTTTTAAATACATAGGTTCTGAAGAGAGTAGGGTGGCTCACAAC